ATCAGCGAGCTTCTAGTTCACTGTGTAGTTACTTGATAGCAGTGAATGAATGGCAAGCGGTTGTGCTGGCGGTTGTTCCGGATTTGTGTGTCGATGTGTGTAGTTGGTTTGCATTCGTGCTTGATGCCATTAATGAAATTGGATGTGGTGTTCGTTCAATCTCATCACCCGGAGGCAAAATGCGCGTAGCACGCCAACAGAGTAGGGGGGCAAGAAGCAAGTACGACGCGTAGGTCTTCCAGCTCCCGATTATTTTTGTTCCTTTACCAAGAAGCCATCGGACGAAGAGGGGGCCTCGTCAGTCCGTTTGTATTAGGTTCGCTTTGGTGAGTTTGGGTGCCCTATTTGAGGTCGGGTGTGTCTGTTGTTGCCTGTAGCCTTGTTGCAGAACTCTGCGGCGTGCGTGTACGAGAATCGTGCTGTGTTCTCGTTGGTTTTTTCACCAGAACTGTCCAGTGTGGGGATTCTTAAGTGTTTTCCTTGATTTTCTTGTTTTCTACAGACTGTGAGGATCAGTTCCTATCAGCAGATGCAGTTGCTGAACTCACAACACCACTGCAACTCCCTCCAAAAAATATGAGCTGAACCGAAATCACGCCAGATGCAGCAGTCTGTGGTCTTGTGAAGTTGGTTGTCGGTTTAGATTTAGCTGGCGCAGCTTGCGAAAAGACCCTGAGTCAGCTGATAGTTGGGCATATGCGGCCTGGTGTAGAGACAGGATTCCTGCACGCAATATCTTTTTCAGGTAATGTATTCAGTGTGCTGGGGTGTGGAACTGTCGCGGTGGGACGTAGCGCTCTTTAGGTCTGGGATCGTCGATTGCTCTACTGCACAGAAGAGGTGCGGTGATGCGAAGACCATAGGACCTATAACCTCTTTTGAATACCTATGGAGTGCATCATGCTATTTATACTCGCTGGGGCAGCAATGGGCTCTGTTGCGTGCCAGCCGGTAAGCAAGCGGTTGCTTCTGCACCTATATACCAGCGGTGGATCCTGCAGATCATCTGCGTATATGCTTGTGAGAGCGCACTTGCTGCCGTGTTGTGGCAAAGCTTTGCGTGTCGCTGCAATTTCGCACATTTTTGGTCAGGAAGTACGCAGATGCCAAAGTTCGTGCTGCCCGCGTCCTTATGGTGGCAAATGCGCGGAGCACATTACAACCAGTTCAGCCTTACAAACTGGTTTTAAGAGGGCTGAAGGGTGCCATATCAACACACTGTGTGCACTCAGGTATTTGTACTGCTGCTTTTCAGCCAGTATGATTGCGCGCATGGGTTTACGTGTGCATAAGTGCTGGAGTGGGGCACTGCAGTGTTGAAGCAACGCACCTTTTGTTTGCTCCAGTAAGGCTCTTTGTTGGTTTCTTCTCGGGCATTAATGCTTCGGCGGCTGATCGCGCATTTGCGAGAGGCGGTCTGATATTGCAGACTGTTGTGAATATGGGCGTGAAGCCCCACCTATGGGAGATGCCGCATATCTGGTTTGTGTCGAGTGTTTGAATCCGGCAACTCGTTTAAGTTTGGTGGCAATTATGCGAAGCGCGATAATCCTGACGACTGGGAGGCTGCGGGTGCGGCAGCGGGGATTCCTTGTGTAAATATTGCTGTTGCGTGCCGTCGAGAAAGCGGCAGCATCAGTACACTGTGTAGGTGCTAGGCGAAAACAATACTGGCAAGCGTAGTACAGGCTGGTGTTGGTTTAGCGGGAATCGCGAATCCACCCGTTGCCAGGGAGTGCAAAATATGGATGCCACAAATTCTGCGTTCGAGTTGTGCTCACCACAGCAAAGCGTCACAAGGCTTCTACTACGACAGGCGTATGGAGGCAGGCCGCAATACCTCGGTTTCGCAAGGTTATTTTGAGAAGCACATATTGAGCAATTTCGAGTTTCTGCGTTCTCTCGGCGAAAAGCAATTCGACACGCACCCCGAGAGTCCTGCTGCAACTTTATGCAGTTGGTACCTGATTTTGAATTCTCTTATTGGACAACACTGCTTTTGTCGTGATTATGTGATGCAGTATGTTTAGACAAAAACTGGGGAGCATGCACGTGTAGGCATCGTAAAGTTGAACATTTTGCATGCGCTTGTTCACGTTGCCGGATCCAAGGGGGCTTCCCTGGAGCTGCGGTCGCACATTTGCTTGGTCAGATCGTATGGACACAATAATCTTTTAGTGTTGGACAGACGCGTGGTTTCCAACTGTTGGAATGCTCTGCAAGCGCTACGCCCGCATAGCAAATTTGTCGTCTCGGCGTATATTTGGGTATCGTTCCGTTGCAGCCTGTATGCGAGCGAGGGTTCGCGTACATGCGCGTCCGTACCTATTTATGCAGTTGCAGTGTGGAAATAAGTGGGAGCATGTTTCCCTCCTGCAACACTTCCATTTGGCATATAGGTTGGCGGTGCATGTCGCCGCTGTAGTTTCGCCTGCGAGTCGTGATCTGACGTAGCAGACGAATTTGGTGATTTTATGACAGCGAATATGTGTACAAGAAAATAGAAAAGCCAATATCACATGTTTTATGCAGATTCTCCCGTAGTCAGTCTCCAGCCTATGCCTCAGTGGTGAGCGCTATGAGGAGAAAGGAAATGGTAGAGGCAGGTCGCAGGCGAGGGCACAGCTGATATGCTATGTTGTGTGCAGCTGTTTATGATGAACTGAGACTGGCGAAAAAGATTCGTGCTCAGAGGTGGTGCAGTGTATACGTCAGTAGTGCTCGTCTGGCCATGTTTTCCATTGTATTCCAGAGTCTCCCACGCACACCTCCATATGTGTCAAGACCTGTAACCGTCGGGATGGGCGTGTTGTTGCAAGCACGAATGTTATGATTCCATCAACTAGCGGTGTCTGCGCACAGTGTCCCAGCTAATCAGGAGCATGAATGTGCAGTTGATGGCAACTCTGGGTGTGGTCGTACGCTGTTTTCAAAAAACGCTTCGTCTATCCATATGCTAGCGTACATAATATGTGAGAGAATTGGTAGACATGCATGCTTGAACTTCTTGAGATTATGCAGTTTGCGAGCGCGAGTTTGGGGCTACGGCATGAAGGTGCCTTCTCTCGCCCTGTCTTCGCCAGATCGTAGGGACCTAATACCTACACAATGCATCGGTGGTGCAAAGTGTTTTGCATCTTGAAACGGTTTTTGGGACCTTCAAGAATGCCGATCCTCCAAGCGTAGGCATTTGATATTGATACACTGGTATGAGTGCAGGTAATGTTTTGGTGGATGAATCCCAGACATTCCACTGTGATAGGACGTGGGACGGTCTACGTTCGTGTGCACTATTTCCTGCCTCGGGGGAGTTTTATTGTCCCGAGAGACAGGGCCGTAGTGTAGGTGGTTTTCATTCGAGCATGCCTCCACACGGCAAAGTGTCCTTAGCGGTCAAACGGTGCAGCCGGAAGCAAGTAGAAAGTATTGGTTCAGCACGGGCGCCATATTTCTTGTACAGCTTCCTACTTATTGCTGTTCTCCTATCAGTATACCACCTAACGAATATAATTCATCGTCAAGCTGTTGGTATTAGGTTAGCGTTCGGTTCGATTGCCCTTTGTGCAATAGGGTGTGTTTGTTGATGTCCGCATACAGACTATTTGGTGAAGAGCCCTAGTTCGTGCTTTTGAGCGAAACATGCGGATTTGCAGATGGTGATTTCACGATGACTGTCCTTGTGTACCTAAGCATCGTTGTGCTGTACGATTGCGCTGCTTGCTACAGGATGTACGTAGATAATTGTTGAAGGGTGTTGCAGACGCGCTTCGTGTTCAGCAGGTAGACAAGGTGGTAGGAAATGGGGAGCACCCGACGGACGTTCACTTTCTCGGCTCGATTTTGTGCATTGGTACCCTTCAGCAAGTATGGGAGGAATCAGGGTTGCATATGCGCATGCGTGTCGATTCGTGGAGTTTCAGTGTGGAAAAAATTGGGGAATCGTGTTTCTCAAACCGTGTTCGCTTGCTGCAAGGGTTGTAGCCGGATGTGCTCGGGGTTGGACGAAAATGTCGCCGAGCGAGCCTGGGATGGCCGACGATGTCGATGGATTTGTGGGGCAGTATCTGGCCAGCGTAATACGTGGCAGGAGACATTAGGTAAGACGCGGTAGTGTGCGTACAACGTTTAGTAGCATGGAGGACAAGTGGGAATAGGCCGTGCGAGCGTGTATAAGGATTGGAGGCTTGTGCGGAACAAGATTAGGCAATATGTGGGATCGGTTGATTGCACGGCGAACAAGAATTCTGTAAATGCGCACGGCGTTTGCGCAATGGTCAGCGAGCTTCTAGTTCACTGTGTAGTTACTTGATAGCAGTGAATGAATGGCAAGCGGTTGTGCTGGCGGTTGTTCCGGATTTGTGTGTCGATGTGTGTAGTTGGTTTGCATTCGTACTTGATGCCATTAATGAATTCGGATGTGATTTTTTTTCAAGCTCGGAGCCAAACGGCAAAATGTCCTTTGTGCTCCAACTAAGTAGCTGGGGCATGTAGTCAGTGCTCCCTTGTTCTGCTCGCACCTGATATTTCTTTGAGGTCATCCAGTCTTATGTTATTGTTGTTCTCATTTCAGGGAATCATCGGGTGCGTGGCCATGCAGTTGGCATCCGGTTCGTGTTCAGTTTAATTGCACTGGCTGTGATCGGGTGTGTCCGTCGATGGCCATATTGAAACTATTTGGTAAGGCGATCTGGGGGATGCGTGTGCTAGAATCGTGGGGTGGTGCAGTGGGTGTTCTCGGCACGGGGGTCGTTTCGTAGCGATGCCTTGAATTTTGCTTTTATGAGGATGCTTTGTACAGATTGTATGCAGGCAATTCTTGGATGAGTTAGCAGAAGTTGTGTGCTTTCAGCAACAGGACCAGTCGTAGGAACTGTGGAGCACGCGAAGGAATTCTATTTGTCGTTGCGTTCAGCAGCTAAACCAGTTCGTAGGTACTATGGAGCACGCGTAGGAAGTTCTATTTGTCCTGGCGGTTTGTGTGCTGTTATGGTTTAGCCAGTATGGGAGGAGGCAGGGTTGGGCATGTTAATGCGTTTTCCAGGCGGCTTCTGATTGTTGCTCTCCATCAACATCCGATGAACATGGTGGATCGTCATGCAGTTGGTATCAGATTCGCGTTCTGTTTAATTGCCCTTTGTGAGATCGATTGTGTGTGCCAATGCCCGTATACGGATTATTTAGCGCAGAGCTGTGATGCGCATTCGTGGCGGAATCTTGCGGTTTTGCACATGGTGTTGTCACAGTAATTGTCTTTGTGTAGCGAAACCTTGTTGTGTTGTATGGTTGCGCTGCGTTCTACAGACAGTATGCACATAATTGGTGGAGGCCCTTCGAGAGGTGCTTTGCGTTTATCAGCTAGATCAGTCGTCGGTACTATGGACCAAGCGGAGGACATCCAATTTGTCGTCACGGTTTTGTATATTGTTACGATTCAGACAGTACGGGAGGAGGCGGGGCTGCTCATGTGGATACGTCTTGATTTATATATATCTTACAGTTTTTGATTGTTGTTGTTTGTCGATTCAGATCGCATTCGACAAATGCGGTCGGTCGTAATGCAGTTGGTTGCAGGTTCGCTTTCTGTTTGATTGCCCTTGGTGCGATCAAGTGTGCGTGTTGATGGCCGTATACAAAATATTTTTTTGAGCGACTCTGGTGCTTTGGTGTGTGCGAATCACGTAGTTTTTAAGTTGGTATTCACACGACGACGGTCGTCGTGTAGCGACTCAATACTTTGTGATACACCTGGGTTGCGGTTTACAGATTGTATGCAGATACTTGATGGAGGGCGTTGGAGAGGTGCTTTAGCTTCAACAATTACAACAAGTGGTAGGAACTGTAGAGCACGCGAAGGACGTTTAAATTGACGTTGCGGTTTTGTGCATTGTTACGGTTCAGACAGTACGGGAGGAGGCGCGGCTGCAGATGTGGGGGGGTTTGTTGTTGTTCGCCCATCAAGATGACATTCGACAAACGTGGTTCATAGTAATGCAGTTGGTTTCAGGTTCGCGTTCTTTCTGATTGCCTCTGTGCGATCCTGTGAGTTATGTTGATGTCTATAGAAAACATATTTTTTTGCCTGGCTTTCGTGCGTTGGCGTGAGAGGATTGTGGGGTTTCGAAGTTGGTGTTCTCACTTTGCCTGTCCGTGTGTAGCGACGCCTTGTTGTGTTGTATGGTTGCGCTGCGTTCTACAGGCAGTATGCAGATAATTGGTGGATGCAGTTGGAAAAATGCTTAGTGTTCAGCAGTTCGAACAGGTGGTAGGAACTGTGGTGCAAGCGAAGGACGTTGAATGTGCATTCGCTGGTTTGTGTGTTGTTACGGTTCAGCCAGTATGGGAGAAGAAAAGCTTCACATGTGGATGCATTTTGATTCGTGTGTCTCTTCCAGTTTTTGATTGCTGTTGTTCACCTATGAAGAGGACATACGACGAAGACGCCGCATCGCCATGCCGTTGTTACCAGATCCGCTTTCCGTTTGATTGCCCTCTGTGGGATCGGGTGCGTTTCTTGATGCCCCTATGCAAAATATTTGTTGCCTGGGTATGGGGCATTGGTGTGTGAGGGCCGGGGTGTTCTGCAGTTAATGTTATCGCGGGGGCTGTCCTTGTGTAGTCAACGCTCCACTTGGTTTGACGGTCGAGCTGCTTTGAACAGATTGTATGCAGATAATTCGCGAAGGGAGTTGCAGAGGTAATTGGCATCCAGCAGCTAGAACACGCGGTAGGAACTGTTGTGCAGGCAAAGCAAGTTCTATTTGACCGCGCGGTTTTGTGTATTGTTACGGTTCAGCCAGTATGGGAGGAAACGGGACTGCGCATGTGGATACGTTTTGATTTATGTCTCTCTTCCAGTTTTTGATTGTTGTTGTTTCCGATGGATAAGCCATCAGCAGCATCCTGGATCGTCACGCAGTTGGCATCAGGCTCGCTTTGTGTTCGATTGCCCTCTGTGCGATCCGCTGTGTCGATGTCCGTATACAGATTATTTGTTGCCGGCCTCTGGTGAGTTTGTATGAGAGAATTGTGCTGTTTTGCAGTTGCTGTTTTCGCGACGACTCTTCCAGTGTAACGAAGCATAAATACTTGCTACTGTTGCGCTGCGTTGTACAGGAAGTATGCATATACTTGGCGTAGGGCCTTGCACATGTTCTCTGAGTTCAGCAGCTAGTCAAAATCGTAGGAATTATGACGCGCACGAAGGGGTATCAATTTGTCGTTGCCGTTTCGTATATTCTTATGGTTCAGCCAGTATGGGAGGAGGCATGGCTGCATATGTGGATGCGTTTTGATTTGTGTGTGTCTTCCAGCTTTTGTTGTTTTTTGCCGATGAAGACTGCATTTGACAAGTGTGGTCCATAGTAATGCAGTTGGTTTGTTTTTAGCGCTCTGTTTGATTGCCGTGGCTGTGATCGGTTGTGTCTATTGATGTGCTTATAGAGACTGTTTGGTAGGGAGCTGTATTGCATTGGTATGTGGAATCAGGCGGCTTTGAAGTTAGTGTTCTGGCGACGACTATCTTTATGT